GGTGGCGAAGGTGGGGCGGGGTAGTTGACGGAGGACCTGGCTCTGGTACTAGGGAGGGTGGCAGCTAAAGGAGGCCTGTGATGGAAGGAGCCCGGGTCTAGGAGGGAGAAAGTGATGGGGAAAGGGCGATGCTCAGAGAGCGCCAGGGAGAAGGCGCGGAGCCGAGGTGTGTGGGTGGCCCCTGGGAAGCAGTCGTGGGTTGGGGTTGGGGGGATCGGCTGGCAGCGAAGGGAGGACAGGTTTGCGTTTTGAAGGTTAAGGTCCTGGGCAAATGGGACACGTGGGTCTGGAGTAAGAGGCACCTACTGAGACCGGAAGGTGACTGGGAGAAGGTTTGAGTGAGGTGCGGGTGAAGACTGGCTAACAGGCATTGTCTGGCTTAGGAGAGAGGGTACAAGGAACTGGAGAGTGTGCGGGGTGAGTTCGGGTTCCTATTGTAGTTGAAGGCCGGGAGCCGTTCGGGAGTAGTTGACCCAGAGTAACCGTCCTTTACGGCAGAGTCGGCAGAGCTGTGTCTCGGAGTCAGGCAGGTTCTTAGGTTCGTTGACTGCTCCTGGAGGGCCCAACGCTCAGACTTGTTAACTCTCAGTTACCCTCAGTTACCCGGGCCGATCGTCCTTCTGCCTCTCCACCCTTTTCCCCACACCTTTTGACAGTCCGTCTAATTGTTTTGCCTTGCATTAGTACACTCACCTCCTTTCTCGTTTTATGGCAGAAATAATTCTTTCCTATTATTGGGAGGCAGTGAGAAATTACTTAATTCTTTACATTAAAAAAAAAGTAGGATGTGTCAGTTTAAAAGCAACATCAAATGGTCAAATGGTACTCTTGAAAAATCTGCCCTACAGGGCAAGTTTCTCAATATCTCGTCAGGCATGTGTAATATAGAATAAAAATGATGTAAGATCTCTTACAGTAACACAAGTGAGAATTAACGTGTAAGTATGATCCTGTTACTCAGGATCAACTGTTTTGATGTAAGGGAATTTCATTTTGTGTTATGGTTGGTAAGTTTGTCAGCCCTGCGAAGAGTTTTGTTGCTAAAAAGATTCAAAGTTCTCTCCACTCAAAGGAAAGACAGACATGGTATGTCTATATCACTGCTACTGCCTTTCTGTTTGACGCTTTGGGAATTTTTATTTTGGAGTGTGGGCAGAGGTTGGGAGTGGAAAATAAATAGTGGGAAAGAAGACTCGCTGTCTCATTTCTAATAGCTTTAAATGGGAGGGAAAATTTTTGCTTGAGAATAGGACAGAAGATGGAGAAGAGTTACAGTGTCAGGACTGAAATGTAAGAGAGTAATTGTACGGGATGTTGTTAACCAGATTAATGAAGCATTATAACTAATAGTTATAAATCTTGAGGAAGTACAAATATTTGTGGAAGTTATTTCTTGATAATCCCTTTCACTGTGATCACATTTTATCCTTAGTATAACAGAATTCCTAAGTGCTCAGGCCACTCAGTGGAGAAGTAATTCAAGTGGTGTGAAGTTAATCAGGGAAGGTTTCCTGAAATAGGTGAGTTTTCAACCGTCATTTGAAATAGGATTTGGAGTCTGCATTATTAGACAGTAGAAGAATTTTATTCTAGTAGTTTGGTCATGGTAGAAGCAAGTCTGAACAAGAATGGTACATTAAGAATGGTTTTGAAGGAGAGTTGAAGATTCGAGTGAAGATTTAGAGGTGTAAAAACAACAGAGCCATTGTTGCAGATTAGTTAGTAAATAATGATTCTGTGCGGTGCCTAGGAGAAAAAAATTAGAACAGTCACTGATGGGTTGGTGGTAGGTAGTAGCAAATGAAAAAGGACTAACTGTTTTCGATAATTATGATAAGGGAAGACAGTGAAAGTAAATTGGATTACTGAGAAAGGTAGTCATCCATGTATAATCAGAAACATTTTGGGGTCCTGTGCTAAGTTATATTGATAACAATAGCAAAATTATTGAGTGCTGCATTGTGGAAGATGCTCTTTTGAGCTTTCCAAGTATCTTATCTATGTCTTATCTATATTTTATAGATGAAGGAACGAGATTCAGAGGGATTAAACTTGCCCAAGGTCATCTAGGTAGTACCTGGCAGGTCAGGATGGCAAAAGTGTAAGTATCTGTTTCATGCCAGGCACTGTGATAAGTGCTAGGGATTCAAAGTTGTCAATAAAATTCAAAAGTCAGGCCAATGAAGAAAGAAAAAGAGTAGTTGGAGAGATTTTTGTAGATACTGAGAAATATGCTATTTAGAGAAACCTAGGAGAGAGGTAGTGATCAGCAACAAAATAATGTAGTTGAGACACTCAAAAGAACAATGAGAAGAAACACATGAGTGGGAACCAGCAGTTAGCGTAATGGCTATGTCACTGGACTCCCACATAGTCGACCACGGCTTGCGTCCCGGACCTGGTGGCTTAAAACTCACGCTGGGCGCATGTGCGTGCGTGCCCAAGATCCCGAGAGGAGAACGGAGGAGAAGGGATTGCGGCGTGACCATCCCCCCGGGGGGTGATTTCTCACTTTCTGTCTCTATGTCTCTCTCTGTCTGGCGAGCGCACGCGCCCCATAGCGAAAAACTTCTCCAAAAAAGAAAAAAAAAACTACACATGAGTTAAGTAAGGAAAAAAGTAATGTGAATTTATTGATTGATTGATTGAGAGGCTTTTGCTCTAGGGTGTGTGTAGTCTCCAGAAAAGAGAGAAACAGAGACAGAAAGCAAGAACTCACCCCCCAGGGGCATGGCCACGCCACAATCCCTTCTCCATTCTTTTCTCGGGATCTTGGGCATGCACGCACACACACCTGGCATGAGTTCAAGCCACCGGGTCTGGAATTCGAACTGTAGTCAACTACATGGGAGTCCAGCGACATATCCATTACATCAACTGCTGGACACAGTAATGTGAACTTAATATGATGAAAACTAGAATGAGATGTTAAGATATGGGGTGGTAGTTAATCATGTTCAGTGGCATGTACAAGAAGGAAGGGGTCTTCAAAAAGTTCATGGGAAATGAGTATTATGAAGCTATGAATTTAAAAAGGTTTTGTATCAAAATAAACTTCTATCGTCATTCCATTTCCCATGAACTTTTTGAAGTCCCCTTTTATTTTTAAAAATGTTATTTAGTTTTATTTTTCATTATTATTAATTAATTTGACTAGAGAGAGGAAAGTGAGAAAGCAAGCCACCAGGTCCAGGACTCAAACTGCTGTCGACGTTATTAAGAGTACAGCATGTTAACCACCACACCATCCTGAAGTCCACTTTTATTCTATACAAATTTAAATATTTGGTATGATCACAATTATGTTCAAGTTTATAGGAAAGATGATAGTTTGGCTTGTAGGGTTTGAATCTTTTGTTGTAAAGACCAGCCTGTCTTAAAGACACTTGTGTTTTTTCTATTTTTCCAAATTTTAGAAAATGAATTATGATTATTATAATCAGGTGGGGGAAACCATTCAGAAATGAGTGAATAGTGAAGAAATATGTGAGTAGACTTGAGGTAGTAGAAAAAATGGTTTTAGTTCAGTGCCTACTCCATGTCAGCCAGTTGGGCAGGCATGCTCTTATCCTGGAAATGACTAGGTTATTAATGATGGAAACTGAAACTACATACTGAAAGGTGGCATTTGCTTAATCTGAAGGATCAAGTTACTGAAGCACCATGAATCATGGAGATATGGTCTTGGCTGTCCTGAACATTTTGTTTTAGAGTTTAATAAGTGAATTTAAAGTTAAATAAAAAACACTCATCAAATTGTGTCATCTTAACTGTTTCTTTGGGCCTTCTACTCTTCCTTCTTCCCACACATGGTTCCATAGTTCCTCTCGCTAATGGCTTTGTAATGGGCTTAGAGTTTCAGTTCAGTAAAATAGTATGAAAGTGCTGCATTTACATATAACTGATTAATCTAAACCCTTATAACTGCATTAACTGTTTTTTCTTCCCAATTTGAAGAAAGACAGATTTCAAGAAAATGAGCTTTTCTTATCAGGTAATCATCTCCAAACAAAGTAGTAGGATTTGCCTTAATGTATCAGTACAGATTTTTCCAGTCTTCTAAATGGGGAATGAGGAGTCTTATAAATAAATCTAGTTTTTATTTTTATTTAGTTTGGCCCATAGGATTGTGGAAGGAAAAATTGTGATAGCTATTTTATCAGCACTGTACTATATTCCTTAAATAACTGATGATACTTAATTCTCATAAAATCTTCTAATGTATATATCCCATTTTACAGATTGGGAGAATAAGCCTCAGAATTTAGTAATTTTCCAAAGGTTGGAGAGCTATATGGCCAAACTGGGATTCAAACTTTACCTTGTCTAATTTCCAAACTTGTATGTATGAGTCAAATAGCCAGAAGGACTTATTTATCTTAATAACCGTAGTTGGAAAAAATGCCATATAACCTTAGGTATTTAGTAGCAATTTGTTACCTTAGAAGATGATATTCTTGCTCCAGGTGTTTGAGCCTTGTGACACTGCCTCTGAATAAATTATTGTGATTTTTTTTGTCCTATAGGGTGCTTTATATTAAATTTACTTGATTTTATAGGTGTATGTTTCCACATTTTAGTGTATTTTGAAGTGAAGATATATTTTACTATGTTTACTTCAGAATGTTTATGAAATAGATACTGTGTCTTAAAGTATCAGAATCGAGTGTGGTATGTTTGTATAGTCATCATGCGTAACTCTTCTACCAATTGGTTGTATGCTTTCTCTTCCCAGACTCCTTTCCTTATCACTTTTCTTGTAAAATATAGAATAATATAGAATCGAGGGCTATAGTAATAATAGTTCCTTTACTTAATAATGTGGAAAAAGGTGTTATGATGTAGAAGATTCACACTGAACTGTGAATCAGCAGATTAGAGTTTTAATTTTGGTTTTGTTAGCAAGTTGTTGGTATAACTTTGGGCAAGTCACTTCCCCTCTCTGGGCTTTAGTTTCCTCATTAGTAAAACTAGAGAGAATGAGAACTTAAGCTTGACTAGCTTGAACAAGATGGTGTGCCCTTTCTAATTAAAAAGTGGTTATTGGGGCCGGCGGGTGGCATGGTGGTTAAGGGTGCTGGTCTCCCACATGGCCAACTATGGTTCTAGTCCTGGACCTGGTGGCTTGCTTTCTCACTCTCTCCCTCTCTCTCTTTTACTTTCTCACTCTCCCTCCCCCCCCCACACACATACACTCTGCCCCTCTCTGGTCAAATAATATAAATAAAGTTAAATAAAATAATTATTTAAAAAAATCAAAATAAAAAGTGGTTATGGTAGGGACCAGCAGATGGCATAATGGCTACATCACTGGATTCCCATGTAGCCAGCTGTGGTTTGAGTCCCAGTCTCGGTGGCTTAAACTCATGCTGGGCGCGTGTGTGTGCCTAAGATTCTGAAAGGGAAGCAAAGGGATTGTAGCGTGACTCTCCCCGCCGGGGTGGAGGAAGGGATGTGATTTCTTGCTTTGTGTCTTTCTGGTCAGTGCACACACCCTATAGCAAAAACCTCCCCCCCCCAAAAAAAAAATAGTAGGTATTGTAGATACTTAAAAACAAACAAACTTGAGGCCAGCTGCTAGTGTGGTAATTAAGACAGCTGGATCTCATGTGATCAACTGCATGGTTTGAGCCCTGGACCTGGTGGGCACCTTGAAGAACATGCCAGGCACGCCCAAAGTCCTGAAAGGAGAAATGGAGGAGAAGGGACTATGAAATGACCATGCCCCAGTGGAGGGTTCTTTATCCTGCTTTCTCTCTGTCAGCACATGTGCCCTCTAGCAGAAAAGAAAATTGCCAGCAATAATATACATATCAGCAGCTTTAACTCTTATCAACTTGTGGTCAATCTTGCTTCATCTGTACCTCCACCCATTTCCCCCTTCCTTTGTTTTGAAGCACATCCCTAGACATTTTTACCAAGTATTACCAAATAGCAAGATAGATATAACAGTGGATATACTAATCCAAATGAAGTGACTGTTTGTAAAAATACATTTTGGGACTTATGCATTATACAGTGCTGGGCAAGAGAAATTAGAAATAAGCTACGGTAGAGTAGGGATAATGTAATTAGGGAGACTGAATATACATTCATGAAATAGAATGTAGCCACACTACATTATGTGCCAGAATTGCTGATCGAAACTCTTAAGTGGGAACCGACATTACTTGGAAATGAAAACAGAATTTAGATAGGTGAAAAGAAGGAAAAATAACTTGTAGGGATAAGGATGATCCAATGGATAAAGCATGCAGTTGGAAAAATCTCACTTTCACTTCACAGAATAGGGTATGTCTAAATAGGGTATATACAGATATTTCTCTATCTATATCTTTTAGACCCCCTACAAGATGTTACTGGTTTAATGTAGATCTTACATTAGAACTTGAATAAAGCCATTTGCTGTACTGTAAATTAGGACACGCTACATTGTGAATGTATCACTGTCTATGGTGAATTATTTAGCATATTCTATTAAAAAGCCTTCTGAATATTTTAATACCACATGTATGAGTGAAGTCCTTTCTGGCTAAGAGTATCAGTGGATGTGTGTCATCAACTTTTGGGTATATGTCACTTTGAGATTTTAAATGTTGGCCTCTTGGTGTCTGCATGCATGCACACATGCATGCATATGTGTAATTTAAATGTTAACCATTTGACAATTTAAAAAAATTTCGCTAGGGAGTATGTGTGCTTGCCAGAAAGAGAGAGTGAGAAGGAGAGAAGGAAAGTGAGAAAGCCTCCCCCATAGGGGACAGCAGTGCTGCAGTCTTTTCCCTTCCATTTCCCTTTTGGGGATTTTGGGAATGCTTACACATGCACCTGGCATGTTTTTGAAGCAGCTGGGTCTGGCACTTGAACTGCACAGTTGGCCAGGTGGGATCCAGGCACCTTAACCACTACCCCACTGGGTGGCATAACCATTTGACAGTTTTAAGGTGAAAGTACAAAGAGAGAGTTAAGAGAGAGAATCTACAGCTGAGAGAGATTGAACCTACAGCCTCAAAAAAGTGAGAGAGAGTAAGAGATTGAACCCACAGCTCCAAGAAAGTGAGAGAGAGTAAGAGATGGAACCTGCATCCTCAAGCCCTTTTA